TCAAGTAATCAAGTTTCACTTTTATAATTATATTATTTATTTATGATTTTATTCTATATCTTTACTACCAATTGATGGAGCCAACATGGGTGTAGTTCTCCAAATTTACAAAAGTGGGCCATTTGGATCTTAAACCTAACCACTTCCTCATCCAGTTGTGAGCGCAATTGGAGTACTTTTGAAGGGGTAAGATCGTAAGGGTAATTTGTATAATTGTATTGATCATACATGAACCATATATTTTAATTAGTTTCATTTGATTTTGTTAGATTCATACAAAGAGAAGGAACCTGCTTGAATCAAAGAGGTTCAATGACCTAGTCTATGTCAAGAATAATCGATTCTTGAAGGACAGGTTTGCTAAGAGAGATAAGAGAGACCCCATCTGATCAAAAAATATGAACAATGCTATGGAGTGGTTAGTTGCTGATGATGAGGTCGAAAGGCATGAAGGATTAACATGAGACATGGTCATGGATGCTTCAGGGACATCAATTGACCTTCTTAGGGCCACTAGATCTTCTGCACAGAGAATGAGGGTGGAGGAGGAAGATGAGGAATAAGAAGCAAATTCAGAAGAGACGGAAGAGGACGACTAATATGTTGAGAGGGTGACGACTCCGATGAATATGATGCCAATGCAGCTGACCTTAATTTTTCTGATGCTGAATGATGAATGTTGAATAGTTATTAAACTTTGAACTTTGATTGAACTACAAATGGTAAATTTTAAGTTTTAATTGGATATGGATTATGGACCGACTTATGGTTATGCTTATGGAGTGTGTGCTAATGTGTAGTATAATTTCAATTTTGATGTGCCCTAAATACCTAATTCTTATATTTTATACAATATATAACTCTAGAATCCTTTTTGGATTCAACTGGGCCGCCCAGGATCTGGGCGCCCGCCTAGGTGCTGGGCGGCCTGGACCCCCAGGCCGCCTAGGACCCGCCTAACGCGCTTTTGAAACTATGTTCTCAATGCTTTGTTGAACAGCTTTGTCAGCCAGTCAATGCCAATCTCTCTTATGCACTTCCAAACCTCTATCGGGATAACATCTGTGGTCTTAAAGCCTTTCCTATCTTCATCCTTTTCAAAACTTCTTTTATTTCTGATATCCCAATCCTACGAATGTATCCATGACCTCCGCCCTGATTTATACCAACAGTTCCTTCTGTCGCTATGTTCGTCATTTAATACTTTTTTAAAATAAACTCTCCACCTTTCTTTGACCTTGTCATCCTTCACCAAGATCCTTTGATATTCATTCTTAATGCATTTACTATGGCTTAGATCCCTACACTTTCTCTCTTATTTTTGCTAATTTAAAGGCATCTTTTTCACTTTCTCTTGTTCCAAGTTTATTGCCAAAACTCATCATATTAATTATAATTACTATATATTACAAATTATATATTAATTATATGTAATTATTATACAATAAGTCTATGTATAATAAAAATCTTATACTATAAAATGATTAAAATTATTAGGTATTTATAATTAGGTATTTATTAGTCATCAATAAATTTTAAAACTACTTCCTCGCTTCTACTCCTATTATTATTAAACTCGCATTCCACATATTCTTAGTCCGATTTAATTTTAAAACCTTTATATTCTAGAGCATCCCTTCAAATTTCTAACTTTGCTTTGATGCCTCATCTAGTCTCATCAATCAAAACAATGTCATCCGCAAATAACATACAACACGGTACCTCATCTTATAGATGCCTAGTTCGGAAAGAATATTGAGAAAATACATTAAAGGGACCCGTTGTGAGTATGGAGGTAACTGGTATTCTATGGAAGATGAATGGGAACACTACATGCATCAAGAAGGCGAATGAGAAAATCAAAGAGATCATTGAGGAAGGTGTTAAATGAGCATTTAGGTAAGGTAAAAAAGTAGATTGTGAAAATAAATAACTCTTAGTCTCACTTCATAAGGCATAAGAATATCGAGGAGGCCTTGTCAGACAACTCCTCTTTAGAAGGATTTGAATAGAATTTAGCATGACTAAAGCTTTAAAACTCGGAGTCACCCCCAGGACTCACCGGGTTACCAAGGTGAATAAAAGCACCAGATCCTGAGATGTATTTGTGAGTCTTAACTTATAAAACTCAAATATTCTTAAATATTCCAAGAATATTCACTTTTTTTTAGAAGACTCAGATAAGGCTTAGAAAGACTCGTTAGACTCAGACAATTGTTAAAAAACTAAGCAAGTTTCTTCATTTGTCTCAATAGGGCAAGTAGGGAGGTTCTATAACTCGAGACCCTCTTGAGCCAAGTACATTTGAGCAAGTCATCATCCTTAAAAGCAAATTTTTAAACACTGAGCATGAAAATGTGACAGAGCATTTAGGCATCCTTGACGATTTTCTGCAAAAAAGGAGGTGGGTTTTCAATTGAATCTCAGCATGAGCTCTTAGCTGGAACTGGACAGTTGTTTCTAGATAAAAACTGCCCCTTAAAGGTTTTCAAGTTTCAACAATATGTTGTTGGCTTACGAGGAGAAAATCCTACCCACCAAGAAGGTATAAATCTTTATGTTAATCATTGAAGTCATAAATGTTTTCATAAACCTAATATCTGCCTCCTTGGTAAGCAGTAGAAGGAATGTGTTAGTGATTATAAACTGTAATGAATATACAGTTGGAACATACGGCAAGTGTTCCAGACTTAACTAAATTTAACAATGCTCTATCTCATCTCCATTTTTGCTTTTCGCAGCAACAACATTTTCAATGGAACAAAAAAGGTCTATAGATTCCATAGGAATTCAAGCCAGAATCTGCTGGACTAGAACAAGTCGGAGTACATGGATATAAGAGAGATCCGCTTAATGAATAAGCGTTGATTGAACTGCTGTTAACTTAAATCGCTTCAGGGACTACTTATATTTGGCTAGGAATGAGAAGTGCTTCAGTGTTTCAGCTGTTCAGTGCAAAGACTTTGGGATTCTTTTAATTAAAAAAACAAAAATTAAAAATCTAAAAACAAATAAAAATGACATTATATCAAAAAATTCAGAACATTAATAAAAAATAAAAAAAATCGAATGTTTTTAGATCTTGTGATAATAATTTGATGCAGTTTGCTTCCGGAGCATATAACATTCCACAGCTTGTTTTAAAGGCCTCATCTAGATCTTTAAGTCATATTTTCATGTACTTTACCTATTTTGTCATTTCGGGCCATTAAATTTGTCCCAAAGTTCAGTGATGGGCTTCTTGTAGTTTTTTAGCGTTGTAGGAGTAGATTTAGGATTTCCGCTTTTGTTTTGGACTTTTCTACAATTTCACAATTTGTCTTCTATTTTCTGTTCCGATTAGATCTAGAGGAATTAGTAGTTTCTATTTTTTATTAGAATTGAAATGGGATATTCATTATACTTTTATGGAAGTTCAATAAGGCTAGGATTTCTATTTACGTCTAAAAATGGGCAATAGGAGGCTTGTCTTTGGTTCAGCGATTTTGAGATTTGGATTTCTGTCATGGAGAGAGATCCTCAGCCTTGGCAAGGAGGACTTATGAAATTTTTTTGCTTCTCTGATGTTGTTATCTTTTGATCTCCTTCCATTGCACATGTTTCTAGCCTGCTACTACATTACAATTCCAAACACAATTTTGCACTATGTTGGGTGCATTATTTTGTAATCAATAAAGTCCATAAGTTCTTTGGTCAATAATATATGGAAATACGCTAAATCAAAACCAAAAATCTGTTTCATAAATTAAAGAGAAAAGTTGAAAGCTCTACCGTGTTAATTAGAGACAGAAAGGATAAAACCTCTGAAAAGGAGCTTCATTAGATCATGTATTAGATCCTATCAATAATTAATATTGGCCTTATATTATAAAAAAAGATTCGTTTGTGAAAATACATAACCTTATTCAAAAAAGTAAGATAAATACAAAGACCCTTAAAAATTATGAGAAAATCTGTTAGAATGGAAAATTCCAAATTTATTCAGTACATCCAAAATCTCTGCATATTCACCTTAGAAATATCAGTGATTCATTAGAAAAATCCATGAAAGAAGAAAAACATGGGGAAAACTCAAGTCATGAAACAACAATTACAGCAACACTCTTTTACAGAAATAGTTCACCTTCAATTCAATCAAAGCTAAGTGAATTGAATAACATAGTTTAATGGATAACATAATGACATCAATAAAAGAGTGATTGACCACCCAGTTGCAAATGGTGTGAACTCTACAAATATGGGGTTTTGGAGAAACATGAGTAAAAAACTCTGCCCCAAGGCCAGGCGTTAAGTGCAATGGACTCTAATGATTGTTGAAGAGATCAATATTGACAGATGAATCAAAGACTAGGTTTCTCAAGTGCATCATTTGCAATGAATGGCAAGAAGTCAAGAACATTAAGTGATATACTGTACATTTTGGTACTAATGATTCTGTATGGGAGTAACCCAAGTTTCACTGATGGAACTGTGCATCTATTCGTGCAACAATTCTCAGACCCATAAAGGAGGATGACCCAAATATCTCACATAATTGAAATAGCAGAATCTGAGAAGTCATTAGGATCTTGGTGGAAATTGTTAAACAATTGATTACGCAATCAGCTGTTGATCATGTTCATACACCAGGCGAGGCTAACGAGGCAGCAGATGGATTAGCTAATATGGTTGTAAGCTGGGAAGTTAAGTAATATGGTACTTGTGCTGCCTTAGGATTATGGTCTCAGGCATTTTATATTTTACTTTTAGTGAGATCGTTACCAGACAAAAAAAAAACTTGAAAGAACAGCCTTTCACAAGGATGTAGTCAACATTCAAGAGATCATCCGATGCATTTACATATACAAAGACCATCTCAACATCAGAAATCAAAATCTAAATAACTGGAAATGGAGTCAATGTTCATGCAGATTAGTGTTTAAACATGGTACTAATAAACTTTATGTCAAAGGATGCAGAGTCAACTTCACCAAGGTCTAAGAAGAGTATTGAGGCCTTACATGAGATATGCTACCATGGATTGCAGCTCTCTCCCGTAATAAACTTATTCTAGGTGACATACTCCCAGATGCCTAAAAAAGCAAATAAATGAAACTTAGCAAAAGCCAATAGTATGACCCATAAAATATTCACCTACTTGCATCAAATATAAGCCTACCAAAAAGATGACTCACCTTGTATTCACTGATATCATCCCTAACAGAATTAAGTAGATCAGCATGTTCCCTCATGGAGTTGATGTTCCCCTTTGTCCTTTTGAATTCCTGTAAGGGTACACACGTGGATCAATGGGAAAAAGGTGGACAATAATAGAATTCCCCAGAAATAACATAGAAAAGACAAACAAAGCCCCTACATTTTTTAGGGCATCCAAAAACGATTCAAAATTCAATAAGATTCTGATGAGCAGCATGAAAAAGGAAGCAGCCAGCCAACGTATCCACAATTCGTCGGAGATGTCGGTGATATTGCACCTAATGAGGGAGAGTGGAAAGGGGGTCTAATAGAAAATGAGAGAGATGATGATTCTGAGGCCACCCTATCCCAGCCATATTATTCACAAATCGAGTCCCAACAGCAACAGTGTAGGGATGAGCACGACAGTGCAAGTGAGCATGAAGGATGGACAAGCTTCAGGGATTTTGGATTGGAAACACAACAAAACACTAACACTCAGGGATTTGGGAATAGTCAAACGCCTGCTAATATCGATGATTCGTTTTTAGATCGAATCAATGAATTGTCAAACGAATTCAATCAATGGCACCAGCGTGACCAAGAAGAACAACAACGTCGTCCATCATTTTATTTTTAGATCGTATGTTACTAATTTTATGCTTTATTGTAGTCCATGTATGTTGATATACTTATTCCATGATAATTCTACGTTTATCCTTTTGTGTGATGTAAATTAAAAGCTGAATGGCGGTTCATGCAGGAAAAGAACATATCAATATTCGCATATTCATTCAAAAACATGAAAATTCTTAATGGAGTACCCTCATTTCTTATTGAATTCCTAAAAAACAATATTTATAATGAATTTTAATAATTTTTTCGGCTTTTGTGAAGCGTTATTCTGACCGATTCACCCCATTCCCGATCCGGATCGCCAATTCGCCGATCCGGATCGACTTTTTGGGTGTCCGATCCGGGTCACCGATCCGTTTTTTAAACCATTGCTTGAGAGTAAATGTAATTTTGCTCCTACTGGAGCAAGTAATCTTTTCCTACAGATATATCTTTCTAGATTGCTTTATATATGGTCGAAGTCAAATTTTGTGTTTCACTAGACATTCTTCATTCGCTTTCATATGGTATTTCACATGGTTCCAAAATGCACATTCTTCATACGCTTTCATATAGTTTTCCACATTCCAAAATGCTTACGTAAAAAGGTTTTCTTTCTGATTCTTGTACTGCTTTTTTTTTTAAGTAATTCTTATCACAAAACTTCCCGATAAGAGAACTTTTTCAATTCTTGTACCAATTTTTTGTACTGCTTGATAAATGTTTGAATTTCAAATTTAAATTTGTAGTCCTCACTTTGCACTTTCGTTTCATATAACACTTCTCTCATTTGATTTCATTGCTGGTCAATTAGGCTTTGATGGAAAAGCATTAGATTTATGATAGAATTTCTCATCCACTTTAAATATACAATAGTTTCATATATCCTTTTTTTTTACGGAAAGCTTTCTATGGTCCCCCTACAACATAGAAGTTCTATGTTCCCCCTACCAGCCAGCCGTTTTTTGAATATGAAATTTGGTACGTGCAATCTTCTCGTTGGGGCGCACCTATAAAAAATATTAACAATAATTTTTCGATAAAAAATAATGACCAAAATGCCCCTTGAAACATTCAGGGGTATTTTGGTCATTTTATTTTATTGAAAATAATTTTTTTATATTTTTCGTTAGTGCGAGTTTAATATAGGAATGGACGTCCAAAATTTGGTGTCAAAACCGTTTATAGAAAAATAAGTAAAAATAAAACAATGTAGAGACGTGACATTGTGATTGGGGCAAGCTTAGCCCTCCATTCAAGAGGGTTGGATAAGGGAGAACATAGAACTTCTATGTTGTAGGGGGAACATAGAAAGCTTTCCCTTTTTTTTATTCAAGTGTCACTACTCAGCATCTATGCATTCAGGTCGAGACCAAAGATTTACAGCAATCAAATCAGCAATAAAACATCACAAAGGTCAAAGGACAACAAAGCAAATACCATTGTAAGGGAATACCGCAACTTAATACAACTAAAAAACAAGAAAGATATCGTTACCCACAAAAGCAAAATAACAATCAACTGATAACAAAAATAAATTAAGTTTCACAGAGCTAGTACAGGGATGGTTCACAAACCTGCATGTATTCATGAAGTATATCCCTGTGTCTTGCCAGCTTCTGATTAATGGAAGTAGTAGGAGCTGCAGATGCAGCACAGCGGCTCATAGCATCATTCGTATCTAGAAGCTTCTCAAGCAAGGACTGGATTTCCATTTCCATTGACTTCCAAGATCTTGAGCCACTAACTGTTGGCGATCCAGTATCCGCATAACCTGAGAGACCAACAATATCAACTCGAAAACTTTGCAAGATTAAAAAACAATTTCCTCTGTTCTTGTCCAAGATGAGATCATCCTGAACTAGCAAAGAAGAAACATTTGGAAATAGTGGCCTCAATTGTGATGGTGGAAATCCATCCATGCAATAATAGCCTATCCAGAAAGCCATGAAGAAATTAGCTCAACAGCATGAAACCAAATACAATGGATTCCAATGTAATGTATTGACAAATGTTGCATACACACAGAATATCCACTAGAAATACTATGGTCTAATTCCCCTGCAATGGTCAGAATCTGTAAAATATAAAAAAATGAAAAGGTATTGATCTATATACCATTCCACAACAGAAAAACACTTCAGAAAGAACTATCAGAAATAAATTAAGAAATACAATGGTCTAATGCCCCCTGCTATGACCAATGTCTGTCAGGAAAACAGGAAAGGATATCAAGCCATGTACCATTGCGCCAAAATTACAAAAAATGCAATAAGAAATACCTAAGCAAAAGTAAGATGCAAATCCAGGGACACACTGTACACCCTAGACATTGGAAAGAGCTTTCTGAAGAATAGGACACCCAACATCTTCATCAAAAATCAATGAGGATGAATATGAGTCTCAAATTCAAAAGTTGAGGCAAGCTGGCACGATAAAAGGAAATTAAATACACAATGGCCCTCATTTTTCAATAAAAAATTATAGTGCAAATCGTTTTTTATCATTACTATGCATCTTACCATAATTACAATATCATTATCATCATCATCATCTGAGTGTTATCCCAACTAATTGGGTCGGCTATAGGAATCCTGCCCTGCCATTCCTCTCTATCAAAGGCCATACCCTCAATCAAACCATATGTCATCGTATCTTTTATCACTACTTCCATCCATGACCTTTGGGGCCTTCCCTTTGCCCTTTTCGAGCCTTCCACTTGACCCAAATCACCCCTCCTAACTGGTGTTATTCTAGGTTGACGCTGCACATGACCAAACCATCTAAGTCTACTTTCTCTCATTTCATGGCCTATTGAAGCTAACCCTAAGTTTCCTTGGATGTTTTCATTCCGAATTTTATCCTTCCTTTCTTGCCACTCATCCATCTCAATATCCTCATCTCAGCTATACTCATTTTATGGATACGTTGTTTCTTGACTGCCCAATGTTCCATCACATAAAAAAACAAGGCTGGTCTTATAGCCGTCGTATAGAACTCCCCCTTCAATTTCATTGGTGTGCGATGATCACATAGGGCTCTAGAAGAACATCTCCACTTTATTCACCCAACTCTAATTCTAAGAGCATCGTCTTCCTCAATCTCTTTTCTCATGGATTATCAGCCGAAGATATCGAAATTTATAAGGTATTTCATGGAAATCAATCCCAATTAATTCCTTATTTTTGCTCCTATTATTACTAAACTTGCATTGCACATATTCAAGGTTTAGTCTAGCTAATTTAAAGCCTTTAATTTTAAAACATGCCTCGAAAGTTCTAAATTTGTGTTTATACCATCTCTAATCTTATTAATCAAAACTATGTCATCCTCACACAACATACACCACAAGGCCTCATCCTATAGATGCCTAGTTAACTCCTCTAAAATCAAAGCAAAGAGATATGGACTCAATACTAACCTCTTTGTCTTGGTTAGGAACGAGTTAACTAGACATCTACAGGATAAGGCCCCGTGGTGTATGTTGCTTGAAGATGAAAATATAAAATAAAATCTAAAAACAATAAAGATCGTCAGCAGCAAGTCTCTCCCCAACTTGTTCATCTTGATATTTATAAACAGAAATCTAAATAACTTTGTCCTTATTTATCAACATCTTATATAAACCCTGGAAAGTGGTAGGAGAAATAGCTATTAAGTATGTTCAACCCATTATCATAAAAAGGGTTAGTAAGTACGATCAACCCACTACCATAAAAAGGGTTAGTGAGTATGATCGACTCACTATCATACTCCTTATCTAACTATATGACTAACTATAGTTAGCTTAAACACTTTCCTAGTTTATTTTGAGATACAAGATTCAGGGTTTTGGTGGATAGATAAACAAATAAGGGGAAATAGCCTTCATCACACTTTGATTCTCTAAAATCATGGTCCAACTTCTGCATCTAGAGTCAGCAAAGGCACATGCAACTTGGTTTAAGATTTTTCAGATGGACATGAACTTCATATTGGGCATTATGTGGGATCAAAGGCTCGGATTTTGACTTAATTCTTGACATCATTCTCGCAATCGGCCATAGGGTTGATGCCATATTTCCTCCAGGAAGCTTCATGGATGCTCCAAACCAATGACTAATGGAAAGACTACCACTTCACTAGAGCACCAACTTCGACATGCAAGTCTACACTTCAAGGCTATATCACTCATCTCACAAATTATTTCAGGAAATCGATGATGAAGCAGCACTCTTGAAGTGACTGAAGTTATGAAAAGATTCTTCAAATATGAAGTCAGCACATTAAGGTACGTCTTTGGAAATGTTTCCGAATTTTTTCCTTTAAAGTTTAATTTCGCCTATGAATTCCTTGGAGAGAACCCCTCATATGCTAAGCTTGTGTGCTTCCAATAGTAGAGTAATACATTGTTATATCAAGCCCATGTCACAGATTTTATTATGGCCTTCATGAAATTTAGAAGCTACTCATTTATGAAGCTTATAGATATAGAAGAATTGAGTTCAAAAGCAACAAAGAGGTGTGAAGTGACGAGAATCTTATTGCCTTCAATTAGAGCCATGTCATTCACAATATATTATCTCAACTTAGGAATTCTAATTCTACTTGTGCTATGGAACTGCAACGTAGTAATTATGCTAGTGGATTTTATTAAAAATCCAAAACTGGTATGAATCCTCTGATGATATCTCAAGGACAAATTCCAAAAGAATTCAAAAAGGAAATGGGGCCAGGAATAAATAAAGCACACTGGTAATTCATGGTTGCTTTCAATTCCCAGTAACATTATGAAAACCAAACATCCGGAGAAAAAATAAAAATAAAAACAAAAAAAGAGAAAAAACAGGAAACCGCATTACAGTTATACAAAACAAATTCAGTGAACAATTTGCTGAAAACTGATTCCTGAAAGGAAAAGGAGAAATAGCAATATTCTACAACCTGCAACTACGGTGACATGATCCACGCTATCAAAAGTAGAGAGAGAAAACAGCATTTCACTTCCAATTGACAGATCAAGATCATGAACTCGCCACCCAAAGAGGGGTAAAAAGTTATGCATAAAGGAAAACAATGATGAATTGGGGTGAAACAAATGAACAAGAGGTTAGCGAGAGAAGAGAATTATCCCTCTTAAGCATACAAGAAACAAAGGACAATTGAGTGAAGGGGAGAGGGTAGAGAGAGAAAGAGACCCACTTCCCTGCGCTAGCCTCCCACCGAGCTTAGCATAAGAAGAGAGTTTGACATCGAGATCTCCTTCTATCTTCCTCGCCTCCTTCCTCAATTCCTCCCACCCAGCCTCCTGCAACCCCAGATTATCTCTCATTTATAACCAACACGATCATACCTCAAAACATCGCAAACAAGACCTACGTTTGTTGCCTGATCCAGTTCAAATCCATAATACTAAACACTTTCTCGTCCCACCCCCCTCTCTCTCTCTATGAATTTCAAGAGCAGCCTCTCTCTCTCGCTAACAGGAAAATGGCTTGCACCCTGCTTTCGGGGTTACTTAGATGCGACCGTGACCAGGATATAATTTTCACGGAAAATACGCAAATACCGCAGAAAATGCCACGAAGAAGGCCAGACACAAAACGTGTACGGCACATGTCGTATACAACTTTGTTTTGCAATAGTATGATCCGTTTCGATCGTTCGTGTGAGGTGGAGTCGCTCATAGGAGAGATAAGTGATTTAAAAAGCGGATTGGTGATCGGGATCGGGCATCTCAAAAACTCATTCGGATCGGTGAATCAGCGATCCGGATAGAGAATCTACAGAATCGGTTGGATTAAACCTTAAAAAAATATGAAAAAATTATTAAAATTCATTATAAATGTTTGTTTTTAGGAATTCAATAAGAAATGAGGGTACTCCATTAAGAATTTTCATTTCTTTGTATGAATATGCTTATATTGATATATTCTTTCCCTGCATGAACTACTATTTACTATTTAATTTATATCATACAAAAAGATAAACATAGAATTATCATGGATAAAGTATATCATTATACATGGACTACAATAAAGCATACAATTCGTAACATACGATCTAAAACTAAAATGACAGACGACGTCATTCCTCATCATGGTTACACTTGTGCCATTGATTGAATTCGCGTGACAATTCATTGACTCGTTCTAAAAACGAATCATCCAAATTAGTGAGCACCTAACTATACCTAAATCCTTGAGTGTTAGTGTTTTGTTGTGGTCATAATCCAAAATCCTCGAAGCTTGTCCATCCTTCATGCTCACCTACACTATCGTGCTCATCCCTACCATCTTGTTGTTGGGACTCGATATGTGAATAATTTGGCTGGGATTGGGTGGCCTCAGAATCATCATCTCTCTCATTTTCCCTTATACCCCCTTCACACTCTCCTTCATTAGGTGCAATATCACCGACGAATTGTGGATATGTTGGCGGGCTGCTTCCTTTTTAATGCTGCTCATCACCTTCTTCAAGATCTTCTTCACCGATAGCCTTAAGAAACGCTCCCTTGTGCAACACTGGCTTCTCTTCTTCTACTACCCATTATTTTGCTGCGTCTGTGACAAATATTGTGTCCAAGTATATTGGTCCATAGTCTTCAAGCTTCCTTTTCATTTGTCACTCTCGGAGGTTTAAGTTGTAATGAACGTAAACTAGTTCATGAAGCTTCTTCGAATCGAGTCGATTCCTCCTAGTAGTGTGCAACTATTGGAACATACTCTAGTTTCGCTCACAGCCAGTAGCAGAACATGTCTGGGAGAGCACCTTGATAGTTATCTTCTTTAGGTGAGGTGCATCACTACCATATATCTCCCACCATTCAGCTGGATTAAAATAAAAGAAGCATTGTAAGGGCAAGAACAATTCATAAGATTAAATATATGAATGAACAAAATATTAATTAGGAGATAACCTGGATCCATCTTAGTTAGAGAATTCCTGGCAAGTCTAGTTCCGAAGGATCTTATAGCATCCCTATACATAGCAAGCTAAAACAAAATATTTCGTTTTAGTGCATTATTTGTCACAAATATAATAACTCAATCAAGTTCTTACTCAAATATTAAATAATACATCTTGTATTGCTGCTACCTGGTTTCGATGGCATCTCTCCAACCTGGCAATAATATATCTGACCCCTTCCATAATCTTGTGGAGATGTTCAAGTGTCAAATAGAAAAATTTTGGGTTGAAGTAGTAACTTAGAAAATATATAGATAGATAAGTGTCATTTAAAATTTCATAAAAAAATAATTTAGAATGAAACATTCTAATGATATAAATGTATATTTACCTGCATAATGAATTGGACGTCCAAATTTGATGTTCCACCTTCTTTCTATAATCTCGATCACTTTACTAGCAAAACTACACTTCTCCCCAATAGCTGATTTGGCCCTCTCAATACCTTCATAAATGATGCCCATGATAACTTTCTTGTCAACATCCATCATTCTTAACACCGTGACCAAAAGGGCAGTGGCCTCTACGATACTGGAACATCGAGACCAGAACATCCTATTTGAGACTATGTCGTCCACTTTTAGCCGGTACTGGACTTCGAGAGACGGTCATTTAACCACTGTTCATTTGTAAACAATCTCTTTAATGCACCTTCAGATTCCCAAATGGAGTCCACAGCCAAGTAATCTGTCGCAAAGAGGGTTATGGCAGGCCTGATTATCTCTTTTTTCTTAAACTATTCTCTGAACAAAAATAAAATTTTAGAATGGTTATATATATATCTTGACACCAACATTACTTCCTGTAAAGTCTCTTTCACAATTTTGAAGTTGTGTGCCACACACGGGGTCAATACTAGATGCTTCCTCTTATCCATCAATTTATTGCCCGTAAAAACACATGGACGCGCATTGTCCGTAATAAATTGGACTACATGCTTATCTCCCACCTCCTCCACTATCCGATCATATAGTCGTACGAAGAAGTTTGCATCCTTCTTCATCCCTGATACATCTTTGCTAGACAAAAAACTGTACTTTTTGGTAAATAGGCCAAGAAGTTTAAAAACTCCTTTTTGCTAACTTTATTCAACCATCCATCACTCATTAGAGTGATGTCTGTTCTTAGCCAACTTTGTTTATATTATTCAATCCATTTTCTAACTTCCTCCACCTCTTCATCCAATATTGGCCCACTGAGCTCATATGCCGTTGGGGGTTTTACCCCGAGCCCGGCTCTCTAGATTGGTTGACCATAGGTGGAAAATATGGGCTATTGGTTGCATCAAAGGGGATCCCTTTATTGTAGAACCATTAACCAACATATCTTCCCAACATGTTTCTTGTACCTTTCACCATTCCTTTAAAGGTCATCTGTTCTGACTTAGGCTTTGAGAGAAATGGGTCTATACGGCCATGACCTGCAAACTGGTACTCTTAGATAAGCTAGAAACAATTTCTTCAACGTCTAATTCCTCTTGATATATATTGCCACCAACATCTCCATACATATTTGAGCTGGGCCCTCTATACATGCTCAAGTTGGGCCCACCATGCATGTCTGAGCTAGGCCCACCATGTATGCCCATGTCATAACCACCAAGCATTCTAAACCCGCGTTCCCTCTGATATGTTTCCTGTAAACTCATTCTTGTGGCCATCTCAAAGTAATTATTATATTGCTCTTCTGGATCATTCCCGCTTGATGGCGTATATAAACTAGTTATCTCCTCATCCATCCTCTGCTTTACAATTTTTTTACCTTTGGTAGCCTTGAGCAATGCCATCTTCTGCTTTCTTACATTATTAGGGACACTATTGCACACAGAAACATCTCTCTTAATCCCGGTCAAGTGTTGCTTGAACCTATGTACCCCACTACTTATCACTCTTTGGCAATAATTACAAATAATTTTGTCTTTTTTGTTGGGATCAAGTCTGACCCCATGTTGCCATGTAGGGTCTTCCGCAGATCTTGTCATGGTTCAACTGTTTTAATATATAAAAGTTTAAAAATTAACTTGACAGTTCAACATGAAAAATAATCACCATGTGTAGTGATAACATGTATGGGTAGGTCATGAAGTTATATTTGTTGTTAATACAAAATATTTCTATTGACAAAAATATTTTAGTTCTTACTGGGAAATATAATTTAATTATGCAAAATTATAGATAAAAATAGTCTATATTAGCCACTACACACAGAACAAAAAATTTACATTGATATAGTATCAATAAAAAATATATTTACAATGGTATAGTAATTCACAATGCCAATACATATGGACTTGTCACAAATCTTCATTTTGACAAACATGAATTAGTTCCTACTGAGAAAAAAAAAATATTTTTGCAACATTATAGATAAAAAAAAATCTGCATAAGTCACACTTAGAATCAAGAAAAAAATTACAATAATATAGTCATCCATAATGCCACTACACATATATTTGACGCAAGAAACATTTACAATGATAAAGTCATTCACAATGCCACAAATAAAATTTATAATGATATAGTGGGCACAATCCCAACTCAATTGAAGTGATCACAAATAGTCGTACATCTCAATTACAAATATGCAAGATAATATAATAAAAAATGCAAGCTCCAAACATGGCAACTCAACAGTCCATTTTTTCTTCACAGACATCAGTCATTTTTTTCTAAAAAATCAAGCTCAAATTGAATAAATAAAATTAAATTGAATACATGTGATGATAAACAACACTATAACGAATCAAAACCCTATAAATTTAACATATTATTTGTAAAATATTGAGTGAAATTGATAGAATGGCGGAAAATAAAAAATAAAAATACGCAGTCCATTTTTTCTTCACGGACATCAATCTTTTTTTCTACAAAATCAAGTTCAAATTAAATAAATAAAATCAAATTGAATACATGTGATGATAAACAACACTATAACGAATTAAAAGCCTATAAATTTAACATATTATTCGTAAAATATTCAGTGAATTTGATAGAATGACGGAAAAAAAAAAAAAAAACGCAGTTCTTACCTGTTTTTTGTGCACCCGTGGCTTCAAATTCAAATTTGATATGTATTCGTCCAAAATACTCATAAATTATGGACAAAAACTTTTGAACAACACTCTTACGATCAGTAACCCTCAGATTTTACAAAAAATGATGCCCTCTTTTGCTTGAAATCAAAGAAATGGCGGAACCCTAAAACGCTTTTAGGGTTCTTTACAACTCCAAATTTTTTTGATCAAAATCAGTGATTTTTACTACCTTTTATTAATTGAAATGGCTGAAAAATTTAAAATAAAGCTTGCAAGATTCGATTATAAAGTTGAAAAAGATGAAAAATGATAAGAAAATGAGCAAAACCATGAAAATCGTGAAGAACATTGTACAACCCGTGTTCTTGGACGAGTCACTGTTGAGACTCGGCGATTCACTATCAGGAATCGCCCGGTTCTCTCTAGACACGGGTGATTTTCGGTATTGTAATGGAACCGGCACGGGGTCTGCCAATTCCCGAGTCGAACCGGGCGAGTCTGTTTCGACTCGCCGAGTTT